CTAGTAATATATTTACTGAGAAAAATGGTGACGTGTTCAATACTTATTTTACCCGCTGTATGTGTGTAAAAATTATCAAATATTCATGTTTTTGTTTTTATTTCACTTTTCTGAAATAAAAAACAAAAAAAAAACTTTCAGATGATTTGCAAATCTTTGTAAATGTTTTCACAAATCTTAAAAATAATTTTACTGAAGCAGCATGGATCAGTGTAACCAGCAGAGGTCAGGCTTTACACAGCTACGCCACACCGTTACAGTTTGTTTTTGTTTTTCAAAGGAAAAACTGAATTCTCAACGTATCTAATGACCCCAAATCAAAGTTTATTGTTAAAAACAATAAAGCAGTTAAGGATATTTTAGTTAAGCCACTCAACCTCAGCTATAGCAGAGCTGCAGCTACTGTTGCTAATGCTAAAACGGTGGTTAGATCATCTGACTTTACTGCTCCGGACTGACGCACGACTGCGTGATGATGTCACGAACAATTGGTTTCTGCTCTGCCGCGYCCTCGCGCCGTTGCTTGCGTTGCTATGCAACGAGGGGGGTGTTGTGCACCRGAAATGATGACGTCACTGAGTGTTTTTAATTTATTCTGACGTASATTCCATACGAACCAATGAGATGTATACCCCAACCTTCATTAGAACTTATTTTCTGTTGGATTGCAGTGGTTCACAGCTGATTTGAGCAGTTACCTTTTTCAACAACCTTTTGATTGAAAACAATTTATTTTAAAAAATTATAAAATATTCATCTTGCCAGGAGTCCACAGTACTTTGTCAAAGGTTTGTGCATTTAAAMCGGACGTCACACTGCCTCTGAAAAGTGAAATGGAACCAGTCTATCAGTCAYATATTCTCCAGCTCCAAGGACTGGAAGAAATGAACAGTCCTGCAGGACATAACTTAAACCAAGTGAGAAATACTGATTCTGATGAAGCAACCGGCTCAAATGATATAAACTCTTGTTCGTTTCTGGGATCGACTCTCAGCAGAGGAAAAAATACCATCCTGTCATATTTCAGGTGGATTAAACGGACTTTTATCCCAGGCAATGAAAGAATTTACAATTTCATCAATATAGCTGGAAAAATATGTGTTTTTCCTTTAAGAAGTGTAATCTATCTGATTTATCAAGTTTCTAAAATTTTCAAGGCCATATACAAGAAGGTTTTATCTAAAAAAAAGCCCATCCCCCCTGCACAACCAGAAACTCTGGTGATTGGTTGCTCAAAAATTCAAAATATGAAATTATACACACCAGACTCTGTTGGTTCTGAACCAGAATCTTCTGAACAAGTCCAGCCATCACATACGGAAAAAGAATCAAATCCTCAAGACATGAGTGGTCCATCGCTCAAAAACACACTAGCTGAAAAGGAGACCCTGATAACTGGCTGCTCTATAGTCCAAAATGTGAGTCTAGTAACGCCAGCAACCACAGTCACAGGTCTACCAAAGTCCATGGCGAAAAGGAAAAGGAAAAAGAGAAAGAAACCACAGAAAAAGGAATCTGTTGCCCACAGAATGTCCACTATAACATGCTTTAGATGCGGTTCAAAGAAGCATCATGACAGGTTTCCCTGGTGCCCAGCTGCTAAACGTACGTGTGGCCTCTGTCATAAAAAGGGTCACTTTGCTCATTTCTGCCACTCATTTTTGGAAGACTGAACTTCCCTGCCTGCCTGCCTGCCTGCCTGCCTGCCATTTTCCGTTCAGCTAAATTTATCAGCAAGAGGCATTCACTAGCATTTTCGCCGGAAATGCTAGTGTGAATGCCTATTGAAACAAACTGATGATGTCACTGATGATGTCACTGATGTGACTGATGATGTCCCTGTTGATGTCACATATGCACAGAAAGACTGCCCCCATTCAAAGTCATTGACTAAAGAACGCCTACTTCACCTACCAAGACTATCAGACTCACTCTCTCTCTCTCTCTCTCTTTGGCTGGCAGTCTCTCTCTCTCTCTCTCTCCTGCCAGACAGACTGAGAGACAGAGATAGAGGTAAGAGAGAGAGAGAAAGAGAGAGAGAGAGAGAGGGAGAGAGAGAGAGAGCGCCTGCCAGCCAGAGAGAGAGAGAGAGAGAGAGAGAGAGAGAGAGAGAGAGAAAGGGGGGGGGACTGAGAGAGTGCCTGCCAGGGAGAGAGAGAGGGAGAGAGAGAGTAAGAGAAAGAGAGAGAGAGAGAGAGAGAGAGAGAGAGAGAGAGAGAGAGAGAGAGAGAGAGAGAGCCTGCCAGCCAGAGAGAGAGAGAGAGAGAGAGAGAGAGAGAG